GCAGAGCAGAGGCTTAGAGCTGATGTTCCTTGCATTCCCTTCCAGCTCTATGTTTCTTTGTTTAATAGCTTAAATGTTATGTTTAGTTCCTATTCGATGTGTGCCATTTTTGTAAGGGGTTAAGGGAAAAATCTTACGATCTGGGATGTTATCCTCATTACAAGGTGAGCAGCTCCCCTCTGCTGGCTGTCAGAAGCTACTGCAAGTGGGAGCAAGGGACTTCCTAAGAGCTTGAGAAAATCTAGTCCAGCAGCCTGTGTCGCACACTGTCCAAACAGTAACATAAAATCGCGAATGACCCCCCTAGGTCTGAATGCTCTCCAAGGTTTGCAGCTCTCTCCTAGGTGAGGGGGGCATATTTCCCCTCTTAAGAATAATTAGATGCGACCTTGTTCTGACCTTGCAGAGTTCGTCAAAAACCCTTGCTTGGAGGAAAACAGGACTGGAATGTAGGAAATACACGGGAAATGCCATACAAAAGAGCACGCACGGCAAAACGGATTGCAGGCATTTGATTTTTGAAAAGCTACTTTCAAAACCCCGGGTTGCACTTGAACGCTACCTCTGGTGGGTTCGACTGGGAAGAAATTTGCAATGTTAAATACAAGATGTTACTATTTAACTGAATCAAACGTTATGAAGTCTATACACGGTTCTATAGGGCACTATTAAGTTGTAAATGGTACGACCTGTTTCGCTTGTATTCTGACTTTTCTATTGGAATTGTTATTTTGTGCTTAAAATATCAATAAAACTTTATTATTAACAACAACAACAAAAACCTCTGGAAGACCCAACGAACTCCAGAACAAAACCGCCAGGATGACCCCAAAAGCGACAGACCAGTGGAGAGAGGGGCAGCTTCTCCGGCTAAAGGTCACCTCTGCAATAAAAAAAGAGCAAGAGTCCAGGAGCACCTTAAAACCCTGACAAATGTTGTGGCAGGGGCGGAAAGAGGCGGAGAAAAGTCTCCAGCTCTCCTGAGTCGATGCTCGCTTCTTTAGAGACAACCCCTTTTGCAAGAATTGTTGCCTCCTTTCCAACCAGTGCGAACGGGCTTTTATTGATTTTTTTTTTTAAGCCACAATGTACAGAACTCAAACAGAAGAAGCTAGACCGGAGTTTTGCGTGGAAGGAACGGAAAGAGGCGGAGAAAAGTCCCCAGCTCCGGAGAAACGGGTTAAGCAACACAAGACCCGAGCCCCGCACTGCAGATGTACAGCCACGGCCCCGCCGCCGCAGCCGCGCATGCGCCACCAACATCCGGGCAGCTTCGCCGTTCGTTTGTTTGTTTTCCTTTTGAAAGCACGCGCTCGCGAAGCTGGTTGGACTCGGGCGACCATTTTGCGCAGGCGCGCCAGGACACGCCTCCTTCCCTTTGTAGGGATTCACTTTCCCTCGCCTCGCGCTCCCTCCCCCCGCCGCGTCGTCTGGGAGGGGAGATTTAGGCGGGAAACGTGCGCGCGCGCACCCGCCCGCGCACGCTCGCCTTCAGGGCCTACCTCAGGTAAGAAAGCTCGAGAGGTGGGCGGGCGAGCGGCTCCCCTCGTGGCGCTCGCTTGGGAAGGGTGTCGCTTGATCCGAGCGACCTTGGAGGAGGCTGAGGGGGGCGGGCGAGCCTCATAACGGCCTCCTGCAGGCGAGCGGCTGCTCAGAGGAAAGGGAAGATCGCGGGTTCCTCGACTCGGGCCCTTTTCGCGTTAGCTCATCGGCATGGCGTCGCCCCCCCCCCCCCTCCGGTTTCCTCTCTTCGGGAAATTGCGGGGTGGGGGGAATTAAAGCACTCGGACTCAGCAGATGTCTGTCCTAGTTAGAAAGGCCTCCGTTGAATGATGCAGCGCCTCACAAAGCCTTGCAGGGCGCGGAGGGGGCGGGAGAGGGAGTTGCCAAACAGCTGTACCGATCCTTGCAAAACCCGGAACGAGGAAGGAAATCAGTCTAATGGCTTTTTGTGGAGGCCCACCCTCATGGCAATGTGTTTTCTGCAAGTTTTCGAGCTTGACAGGCCTTTTCATCAATTCCTGACGAGCTCGAGAGGCTGCGCGATTTTTAATTGGGGGGGGGGTGCTCGTGAGAGTCGAGGGTCGCTGCCTGCGGGGGCCCCCCAATAAATGTTGACGGGCGGGGGGGGAGAGGGAGTTGCCAAACAGCTGTACCGATCCTTGCAAAACCCGGAACGAGGAAGGAAATCCGTGTAGTAGCTTTTTTGTGGAGGCAATGTGTTTTCTGCAAGTTTTCGAGCTTGACAGGCCTTTTCATCAATTCCTGACGAGCTCGAGAGGCTGCGCGATTTTTAATTGGGGGGGGGTGCTCGTGAGAGTCGAGGGTCGCTGCCTGCGGGGGCCCCCCAATAAATGTTGACGGGCCTTGAGAGTGAAATGGAAACGAACGAGAGAGGGGGCTTGTGGCACCTTAAAGACTAGCAGAAGCCTTATTGCTGCATAAACTTTTGTGGATATAGAAGGCCCCCCCCCCTTTGGCGAGAGGTTGGTGACACCTTTAAAGAATGAGCAGATTTTCTGTGTTAGAATCTAAACAAAGTTTGGGTCCAGTGGCACCTTTAAGAGCCAGTTTGGTGTACTGGTTAAATGTGCAGACTCTAATCTGGGAGAACTGGGTTTGATTCCCCACTCCTCCACTTGCACCTGCTGATGTGACCTTGGGCAAGCCGTAGTTCTGTCAGAGCTGTTCTTGAAAAAGTGCAGTTTCTGTCAGAGCTCTCTCAGCCCCACCTACTTCACAGGATGTCTGCTGTGGGGAAGGGAAAGGAGATTGTAAGCCGCTCTGAGACTCCTTTGGGTAGTGAAGGGCGGGGTATAAATCCAATCTCCTCTTCTTCTCCTCCAACTTCAACAAAGTTTTATTTCTGGTATAAGCTTTCATGTGCAACCACTCTTCCTCGGGTATTTGAGGTCTTAAAGGTGCCACTGGGCTCAAAACCTTGTTCTGCTGCTTCAGACTGACATGGCTACCCCAACTGAATCAATGTTCTAGGATCTGCTATGCAGTGGAAATAAGTGTGTCTTGTGGCACCTTAAAGATTTAACAAGATGTAAATTTTATTCTATGGCAAACTTGTGATCAGCTCACTCCAGAGCTCCTGTTTCTGTTGCAAACAAGCTAACAGTTACCCGCCTGGATTTATTAGTTTAAATGGAAATTGTTAATGAGGGAAGGGCCATAGCTCAGTGGTAGAGTTTTAGCTTGGCATGCAGAAAGTCCCAGGTTCAATCCCCAGCATCTCCAGTTAAAAGGGCCAGCTAGCAGGTGATGGGAAAGACCTTGACCTGAGATCCTTTGGGGGGGAGGGATGAGCAGACTGACCTCGATGGTACTGAAGGGCTGATTCTCAGTATAAGGCAGCTTCACTGTTTACTGTTTCAGTGAGACTGTATAGGACAGTCTACTGTGCAATAAAGCCAGTTTGGTGTAGTGGTTAAGTGCGCGGACTCTAATCTGGGAGAACCAGGTTTGAGTCCCCACTCCTCCACTTTCACCTGCTGATGTGACCTTGGGTCAGTCACAAGCTCTGGCACAGCTGTCCTTGAAAAAGAGCAGTTTGTGTCAGAGTTCTCTCAGCTCCACCCACCTCACAGGGTGTCTGTTGTGGGGAGGGGAAGGGAAAGGAGTTTGTAAGGCGCTCTGAGACTCCCAAGTGAAGGGCGGGGTATAAATCCAATCTCTTCTCTTCTTCTAAATGAATAGTGGTAGAGAGAGCCTGCTTGTAGTGTGGTATGAGTGCTCTGGCAATAATCCTTGGCCTGAGAATAGGGTTGATAAAAGTAAATGAAAGCCTTATTTTCACATGAAATATGGAATGGTGAAGATAGTAGGACTTGAAGTGTGTCCTGTAATCCTTCCCCCCCCCATTTAAAAAATTTTTTTATAGTCAAACTAAACTCAAACAAACAAATACATACAATTTTGAGGGTTTCATATACATCTTCGTTATATGTAGTATGTTACCTCGTACACTGTGTGCTTGTATATTATCCATTTTTATCACCATATATTTTTGTACAAATATTTTGCTTTAAAGTTGAAAATGTATTTATAATTTCTTCCAATACAGTTATGTCAATATTATTTACTTATTATAGTCTTTGAGTGTGTTCTGTAATACTGTTGCCTGAGTGGATATGGGGACAGAGTTGGCATCTGGGCTTGTTGCTGTGTGACTCTATAAAATAGTATTTTGTGTTAGTTGAGTAACTGTTCTGGACTAAAGGGTTGTCTGGAAGTAAGTAAAGGCTTACCTCTGAAGGCCTGATGTGTAAGAGGTGCTGTTGTCTGGAATGGGAGATGCTGCTCAGGAGAGTACTCCAGTGACTGAGGATAAGAACAGGCTCCAGGTCTTGCTTGTAATTTTGCTGAATAGACTGCATTTTCCCCATACACAATTTTATAGTTGTCTTACAGCTGCTCTGTTCTTGCTGCCATTGTGTGGAGTTACTTGGCACATTGTTGTGATTTGTTTCCCAGGTTTCTTTAGAGTTTGATGGGGCATAGTCTTGTTGAGATGTTATACTTCAGCTAGAACAAGAACTGAGACCAGCAGGTTACAGTGCTGTTGTGCCATAACCTTCTTGGATGGTGGGAATAAAATCAAGCTACCAAGAATCACCTACAAGTATGGGCAGTCTTTATTTTATTAGCTTCATTTATACATTGCCTTTCCTCCCAGCGGGGTTCCAATGCAGCTTACATTGTTACCCTCTCCTCTGTTGGAGAATTGTTAACAGCTTTTAGTGCTGGAACACAGACTTAAAACACAAGAATTACCAAAGTACGTCAGCCCCAGTGGTCTGTGGCTTTATATTCTGTAATTTAAATATTTTAAGAAAACCTTCAAGTTGGACAGTGTTGTGAAGCACATCCACTTTAGTGGATGGAAGTTTGAGCCTCCATTTGGCAGTCAATCTCTGTTTTTGGTTTAACACAGGAGTACTCTTGGTTTTTATTTTCCCTTCTTTCTACCAGGAGTGGTTGTAGCTGTCTTTGCTGGGTATGAGTGATGCAAAGCTGCCATTAGGAAGAGAAGAAAGAATGTGCAGTTTGCTCTTAGAGTGAAAGGGATCGCTAAAAGTAAGTTAATATGAATACTAATTCCACTAGTCTACTGTTTGGAGATGCCTTTAGCACAGAAATCATTGCCTCGACTGTCAAATTGTAAACACTTTTTCATGGAATCTAGCCCCACTGATTTCAGTGGAAGACAGTTACTTCTGTATATGTGCACTTACGAAGCTCTGCCTTGTAAACATTACATGCCTTTATACCTTGAACCCTGCAAGATGTGGAGAGTTTTGAATGGTATTTGCTTCTTTCTTAACATCTAGAATGCTGGGTGCCTGTGGCATGCAGAAGTGTCACCAAGAGGCCCTGAAAAGGAATCGCGTGTCCCTAGCAAAACAGCTGGTGCTGAAGGAACTGCTGGAACATCTCATAGAAAAAGATGTTATCACTACAGAAATGGTCGAGATTATACAGGTACACTGAGTGTTGTCAGTAACTGGAATTAATTTTTAATAATCCAAACATATCTTCTAACATTATTGTACTTTCCACTAACACCCAAAAATATTCTTTAGTGTAATGTGCTATTGCAGTGGTGGCGAACCTATGGCACAGGTGCAAGAGGTGGCACTCAGAGCCCTCTCTGTGGGCACGCGTGCCATCGCCCCAGCCAGGCCCAGACCATCATTAAAGTGTCAAATTCTCTGCCAAATAATTTAAAGTAAATGAAAGCATTTGGGATTGCTTTCCTTACTTTGTTTGGATCATCTTAAGTTAATGTATGAGTAAAACCTCAGTATTCAGGTTAAATTGCCGTGTTGGCACTTTGCGATAAATAAGTGGGTTTTGGGTCGCAGTTTGGGCACTCAGTCTCTAAAAGGTCCGCCATCACTGTGCTATTGTGAAAAACAGGTTGGTTTTTGCAATAGAGATGATTTGTATAGCTTCATTGACCAAAGCAGGCTTGTAACAAGCCACTTATTTAGTTGTCTGTGAGGAGGAGGAGAAGAGATTGGATTTATACTCCACCCTTCACTACCGAAAGGAGTCTCAGAGTGGCTTACAATCCTTTTAAGAACATAAGAGATGCCAATGTTGGATCAGGCCAAAGGCCCATCCAGTCCAACACTCTGTGTCACACAGTGGCCAGAAATACTAGTGCCATCAAGAGGTCCACCAGTGGAGCCAGGACATTAGAAGCCCTCCCACTGTTGACCCCCCCCAAGCACCAAGAAGACAGAGCATCACTTGCCCCAGAGCCCCTAGCTATACCTTGTGGCTAATAGCCACTGATGGACCTCTGCTCCATATGCTTATCTAATTCCCTTTTGAAGCCGTCCATGCTTGTAGCACCCACCACTTCCTGTGGCAGTGAATTCCATGTGTTAATCACTCTTTGGGTGAAGAAGTACTTCCTTTTATCCGTTCTAACCCGACCGCTCTGCAGTTTCATGGAGTGCCCACGAGTTCTTGTATTGTGAGAAAGGGAGAAAAGTACCTCTTTCTCTACCTGCTCTTTCCCATGCATAATCTTATAAACCTCGATCATGTCACCCCTTAGTCGTCTTTTCTCCAAGCTAAAGAGCCCTAAGCGCTTTAACCTTTCCTCATAGGGAAAGTGTTCCAACCCTTTTATCATTCGAGTTGCCCTTTTCTGCACTTTTTCCAAAGCTATAATATCCTTTTTAAGGTGTGGTGCCCAGAACTGCACACAGTATTCCAAATGAGGTCGCACCTTTGGTTTATATAGGGGCATTATGATATTGGCTGATCTGTTTTCAATACCCTTCCTAATAATCCTCAGCATAGCACTGGCCTTCTTTATCGCAGTCACACACTGTCTCGACATTTTCAGTGAGTTATCTACTACAACTCCAAGATCTCCCTCTTGATCAGTCTCTGCCAGTTCAGACCCCATCAACGTGTATTTATATTTAGGATTTTTGGCTCCAGTTTGCCTCACCTTGCACTTGGCCATATTGAACCCCATTTGCCATGTTGACGCCCACTTGCCCATCTTTGACAGATCCCTTTGAAGTGCCTCACAATCCTCACTGGTTTTCACCACCCTGAACAACTTTGTATCATCCACAAATTTAGCCACTTCACTGCTTACTCCCATCTCCAAATCATTAATGAACAAGTTAAAAAGCAGTGGACCAAGTACTGATCCCTGCGGTACCCCACTGCTTACCCCCCTCCACTGAGAGAACTGCTCATTTATACTCACTCTCTGTTTTCCCTTCCCCTTCACACAACAGACACCCTGTGAGGTAGGTGGGGCTAAGAGAGCTCTCTTGAGAACTGCCCTTGAGAGAACAACTCTGAAAGAACTTATGACTGACCCAAGGTCACACTAGTGGCTGCATGTGGAGGAGTGGGGAATCAAACCTGGTTCTCCCAGATTAGAGTCTGCATTCCTAACCACTACGCCAAACTGGCTGTCTAGCAGATATGGAAACCATTGGATACTGGAAGAGAGTTACAGTGCAATTATATATGCGGAGTTACTCCAGTGTACGTCCTTGGAAATCAACACTGTCAGATACCAGTGTACTCCAAATTCCTCATGCAGACAAGTTTTTATCAATAAACTAATTAACCTGTGGGCTAATAACTTGTGAATTTGTTTGCAAATCTGGAAAGCTTTAGCAATGGAAGGAGAATGAATACCAGCTAGATGTTTGACCACTTAAGGTTTCATTTCTGAAGCAGCTTTTATATTGGCATAAGTAATCCAATAAAGTATTGATCTAACATTGCTTTTTTCTGTCAGTTTCCAGTAGCTCACAGAATTTTCACTTTTGAAGACGATAGTTTGTTTCACACAATCCTATTCCTCTTGAATCAGAGGACTGCAGTTGAAGTATCCTCATTCTAAAATCTTCAGGGGTCTTGCTGTGTTAGTGGATAATGTAGATTTAACCAATACATTGCAATAATGTCGACGACTACAAATCAGGAAAGATCTTTTGCAGTGAGAAAGCTATGAGGCCTACTATTCCAGTGGCAAACGTAAATAAAGAAATTATATACAAATTTTAAAAGATGTAACAAGGTTACATATTATGTATATGTTGGTTATATCTACATGGCTCAAGAGAAGGAATGTTAATTTTTGTATTGGTGTCAGTGTGTGCCAGAGCATAATTACATAATCTCAGTGACGGTCATTCAGCTTTTTGCTGATGCTTTGGGCATTACTTTTCCTGTCAAACGATACATATTGTTCTCTGAGACTGTTGTAAATGGCCTAGAAGATGGGTGATGTGGAATAAAGAGCAAGAGTCTGAATGGAAAGTGGTTTGAAGTCTCTGTCTTGGCTGACTGGGACTGGTAATCATAGCAGAGATGGCGGCAGCGTATTTTTCATTTTGTCATGTATTTTTATGTTTTCTTCCTGGACTCAGGCCAAGGATGGGAGTTTTAGCCAAAATGTAGAATTCCTAAACTTACTCCCTAAAAGAGGTCCGAAAGCCTTCTTGTTCTTCTGTGAAGCCTTACGAGAAACCAAACAGCAGCACTTGGAGGAAATGCTCCTGAGCACCATCCCTAGCCAGAGCAACGGAACTGCAAGGGTAAGGAAAGGCCAAATTAGAAATGAGAAAGGAGCACACCTGGGGTTAGTGATCTCATACTGTCCTGTCATGTGACTGTCCTGTTTCAGAAAGTGGGCTGATTTTTTTTTTTAATTGTCAGAAGGCTGGCAAAAAGCTCCTTGCATGTCTTTCACTATACGTTTGTAGCTTTCCAAGAGGAAGGAGACTTGGGCCTGCGGTCACTTCCAAATGAATGGTGCCTCATGTGTTGTCTTGTTCTTTGGCTTGCTTTTAGGACATTTTTTTTTCTTACACAGAACAAAAAGGACCTGTCGTGAAATGGGGTGGCTGATGAGAACAGACCATAAGTGACAGGATTACCTAATTGCTTAAGAGTTGTAATTTCAAGTTGTCTGAAGAACAACATTGCCATTGAATATTGCCCCAGAAGCAATCTATACCAGATTCCCCCAGGCACTGGGACAGAACTGATCCTTGAGCAGAATTAGGACTTAATGTAATCTGTTGTCACATCTAGCAGGTGCCAGCCAAATGTGACATGATGTTTCTTGATACCTGGAGCACCTCTTATGGAATCCATCATTTCCAGAATTCTCCCCAGAAACTTGATGAAAAATGGGGGTAGGGTGAAAGAATCCTCCAGTTTTGGATGAAACTAATATGGAATGCTAATACTGATAGACTAAAAGTCTGTTAAATTATAGTGACAATGAACCTGAAAGGGAGTATGCTTTGATAATCAGTTATCTGCTATTGGAAATTAAACATCAAATCAGATGAATTAACATACATTTATATTTTGGTTAAATGATCTAGTACATAGTGAAAAGAGAACCCAAAGTATACTCACTTGAATATCTTCACTGGTCCTACTGTGTCTTGGAACATTCTTGTGTCATTTATACTTTAACTAGCAAGATTTCTGCTTATTCACTCTTGAATTTTTTACCTAAGTCCAGAGTTATGACTAGGTGGGAATTGTTTTCTATACAAAGAGAACAGCAAACTTATATTTATTGTATATTAAACTTAAGAGAACTATGTAAGGACAGAAGGGAAAAAAATAGCACACACAGTAGGTCTCTGGTGTTAATGAACATCTGTGAGAAAAGCAGGCTAAATGTGGGCTTTTCTTTTTCCCTTTAGTATTGCTGAGTCTTTCCATTGCCTTAATTGTTTTCAGTGAGAGGTAGTATTCCCCTGTTTCTTTATCATGTAACTATGGTCAGGATGCAATTCTGTTATTGTCCCTACTCTGTCCTTCGAATGAAGGCACCGAATTCTGCGGTTTGAATCTCATGGTGCCCTGTTGCTTGAAGAAGTGAGTGAATATTGGGGAAATATAATTCACCATACGTGAAGAGCCAGAGTTCACACTGTTAGTAAACGGCAGAATTGTGTAAGCAATGTGATTAAATTAAATTTCCAGGAAAAAAACCTCTGATCATGATCAGTGGTGTGCATGAAGAAAGGGCCAGTATATTGCAAGCATTCATGGGATGTAAGCACAAATTGCAATGTTCTTTGCATACATGGGGTATACTGCATCTATCTGACGCATCATTCAGAGGAGGTCAAACCATCTCCTGTCAGAAGGTGCCACACACTGTAATATTTATCTCCAGTTGTAGTATTTCCCCCCCTGTATCAGTGAATGACCTCCATTCATTTAGAAAAGGGCACACTCACATACATCATAATGGAGGGCTAAACCTGGCCTTGGTAATCACCTGCTGGAGTAAGAATCAGGGTTTTTCCCCTACCCTCAACTTGATTCCACATTACAGCCCATTCACTTCTACCCTTAGCATTTACTGAGGACCACTGAGATACGTGTAGCCTCACTGTAAGTTTAATTTGCGTGTGTATGTGTGATGCTAGAGTGTAACAGAACCCCAGGAAGTGATTTCTTATAATAATCAACAGGATAAAAGAAATCCACATAGACACTATCTAGTGTGTATATACACCCATATATATCTGGCTTGGCATTACTATTCCACTGTGGGTGGCTCTTGGATTTATGTGGTGTCCCAGTTTCTTTATATCATTTAGGTATTTTCCAGGCTTTTGGTAAAATCCATAGGGGCTGATCAATGTACCTTTCTATGTAGTCACTCCAAAGCAAAGTGGTGAGGTCAACTTGTCTGCCTCTCTTAACCTGCAATCATGTTTTAGGATTGCACATCTGGTTAAAACTATCTAGAAGAGTTCTTGTTGGTGATTTCATGGATCTGTTTCTCTCTTACAGTTGAATCATGGCTATGAGGAAAGTTTGTTGTTTCCTGTCCCTGAATCAGGAATCTTGCAGAAAAGACAACGTTTGCATCATGGTAAATCTACAATGCAATTTGACTTTTTTCTGTTGCAATGGTTAAAACTTCCCATAATAATGATAATGATGAATATTTAGAGTGCCAGATTTCCATATTCTACACCAGATTTCGGGCATAAACAATTGAAATGCAAATGCACCCTGCCTGGCACACAGTCAGTGTTCAAAAAATTAAAAAGCGACTCTTCTATTGCAAAGACTAAAGAATGTGTCTATTTCCTGTTCTGCCTCAGGTTAAATGAAGTTCAAACATTGCTCAGTGTTAGGAAAGGGGTTGTTTACCTTTAGGCAGAGATTAAACCTGGATATATGCTAAGCCGTGGGCAATGTTTTGAAGGACTGAAAATAGGAAATAAGTGTGAAAAGACGGTTTCCACATCTAGCCTGCTCTTGCTCTCTCCAAATGTCCTTTCAAGCATTAATGTTAGGAAGTATCTTACTGTAGCCTATCTTTGGGATTGCCGGAATTTGTTCTGTCACGGAGAGCTAATTTTGCTTGACGTGTTTTTGAACTGGTCCCTTCTGATTTTTTAAAATGGTCGTGGTTAATGACCATCAGCAAATCTGTGATTTTAAAGACATTTCCCCGGTTTGCAAGATCACAGAGACTGCTGCCAGCCAGTATATTTGCTTGCTTGAGTATGCACTTGGGAATAGCCAGGATGGTTTGTGGAAGCCACAAAAGGAATGGTTGTATAGGCTCTTTGAAGATAGGTTAAGAATGTCCATCATATGGGAAGGTAAATATTCGCCTAATATGTACTAAGAAATTTTGAGTGTAAATTTAGATTTTAATTATATCAGGAATTGGTTTTATATTTATATGTTTGTATATAGAATGCTCCAGGCTACACCAATTTGGAGAACCAATCAAAACCAGTGAATTTTACTGTTTTCTTCCCCTGAGTTTGTTGCATTGCTATCTCATGCAAGTTCCTTGAAAGATAAAAGGCCCACTGCTATTCTTCCTATTCAAGGCACACTCTTGAGGAGATGCACATGCTTTCTATTAGAAATCCTTAGAAATAGATGATAGCCACTTCTTTTGTGGAGCCTGACCATCTATGAGCTGCAAAATATGTTTGCAGACCACAGCAAGAAAGTTAGTGTCCCTTTAGAAAAAGGATTACTATTGTATCTTTTTGTGAAGTTCTTGCAGTTTCCTTGCAGGAGTGAAGTAAAATGGTGTTACAAAAGCTAACCTAGTTTTTATATCCCAAGTCCAGATTTTATACCCAAATCTCTGGGATTCAGCTGTACCATGCTGATTTTTTAAGATTGCAAACTCTTTCATTATTAACCAGTAACCAAATAAATTATTCAGTGAATGATTTTGCCATCTGTGTCAGCAATAGCTGAAACACATACATAGCACAAAGTTATAATTGGCTGCCATTAGTCGTCTTCTTTGGCAGCTTGTATAGGACACAGTGCCTGGGTTTGAACAAATCATGGAAATTTAGCTTCCTGATAATTGAACAGGAATGAGAAGAAGAATCAGCAGAGAAAGAGTACATGCATGTATGAATTTTGGTGGCAAATACTCACTTTGTTACATGAATAGTATGTATTTTTCTGGTTAATAAAAGTTTTTATTTTTAATGGCTATTAAAAACCTTTTTTTACCAAGACATTGAAATAATCTGAATCGATTTTTAAACTAATACTAAAGTTGAAAACCCATCTAAATGTCTGTCATTGTCATGAGACAAAGGTGGTCATAATTTTTATTTTGAACACCTCAAAAGCTGAAGTTTTAATTATTTTTTCTTCTAACTCTCTGCCTAGATTTATTCCTTTGCACAGTGACCCTAGATCTCTCTCCACTCTGAAATGTACTTCGTAATTACCTAGTACGTCCCAAGATTGCGTTATTATTAAGTTTCATGGGTGTTAGCCCCGTTAAATCCAATGGGACTGACAGAAAATATGCACTGCACATCACTGAAATTCCCTGGCCACTGGGCATTGAAAAGCTTTTTCACAGAACAAAGTAGCAATCTGATTTCAGTTTTAAAAAGCGCCTCTTTCCCCTCTTGATAATACAAAACAAGGAGTGCTTTTAATAGTGCTGGATAAGAAGTGGTGGGATTATTGGGTGCTATGTGGAACCCAAAGCAACTGATCACACAATATATTGGTGTGGATTTTTTGGTACATCTAGTTATCTGGAACTGGCTACACTTGCAGGACATTTTCCCAAGTGCACATACCTTGCAAATTATGCACTGCTGCAAAACATTTGTTTAAAAGAAGATTTACAGTGACAGTTCTGTGCATGCTTATTCAGAGGTAAATCATGCTGAGTTCAGTGGGGCTTAGATCTGAATAAATATACATAGGATTATGTTGTCAGGAGACAGCTAAGGAAAGAGCTTATGCAAGCCCCTGACAGTCTTCTGGCTGACTTCCATTCCCCACCGCTGACTTGTTTGTCAAACACACACCGTTCCATACAGTAGAGTGTAATTGTGAAGGAGGTTAGTGATAGATCTCTATAAGCAACCCAGCCTTCCTCCCAGGACCTGATCCAGCTCCTGATGGTAGGTGGAGTCTCTGGGTTTTAGGTCCCTCTTTACCCCCCCCATCTCTTTTCCTGCTGCTGCACTAACTCTTTAAGTTGTCGGTTAGCCTCTGCCTCCTGTCCAGGCTAGCTGTTGTATCTGATCTTTTTTTGAATGTGTTAGTTTTCCAGATAAGACAAAAACTGAGTGAATAAGATACCTTCTCACAAAGGAAGTTATGCATATAGGTGAATAAGCAAGAATATTACAGTATTGCAAACAAGTTATAGAAAATCTAATGTTAAACGTTTAGCCACTATCTAGCTTGAATTTAGATAAAATCTTTAAAAGCTTCTAAGCACTTAACAATTTTCATTAATTAGAAACAGTTTCTGCCCAAAAAGTTTTCCTGAGCTACCAAGGTTAATGCAAATAAGTCATGACTGGGTGCTTCAAAATGCTTTAATACTCAAGAATAGCCTATCTCTGTTAAAGTGGAAGGATTTTACATTTTCACATCTTAATGGTTCCAGGTCTTTCCCGAATTATCTTAGCTGCACAGACGTTTTATGTTTTGTTGTGAAAACATCTTCTTGCCTGATGCTTTAAATTTCTTCTTTGCAGAATCAATGGAGTATTCCTTGGATAATGGAGACGGTCCCCACTATCCTCCAGTGAAGCCCTGCACTCCAGAATTCTACCACGCTCACCAGCATCTGGTGAGTAATTGAAGTCATAGAAGCTAAGAGGATCTATGACCTCTAAAGAAGTGGGATTCTTGTATAGATAATCCACAAAAAGACAGTTTCATACATGGGCTGAACGGTATTACCATGTGTGATCTGTTCTCATGTCGGTTAGACCCACGTCCTGCGTGAACAGGCCTGCTTCTCCATAGTGAACCCAGAGTCACAAAAATAGCCAGTGGTAGAAGGGAAGCCCCTCCTTTGCTGTCCTTGGCTCCTTCTGTAATGGGTTATATTATCCAGTTAGATGGAATAATTTTGTGGGCCTTGACTTAGGAATTAGAGGAAAGTGATGGGACTCCAGTACAAAGTTGGCAGGAAGCAGGAATTTAGCAGAATATCAGAAAAGCTTTGTCGAGAAAAGCCATTATACAAGCATGCAAAGGTAATATTCGTATATGTTATAGTACCAAAGTACTATACTGATACCTTGCCCCAGCATTCAGCAACATCATGCAATGTATATTAGAGAGAATGGAGGGATGAAGAGGGGGAAGAAAGAGAAGGGACAGCAAGGAAAGCACAAGGAAGTATTACCTATCCTTTTCTGAAAAGGGAGGTCTGGGAGGTGGCTTATAGCATTAAGGTATCTGATTCAAGTGGACCTGAGACCTACCAAGATTCAGAGCTTTGAAGTTCCAGTAGGAATTGCTGGGTGAGGCAGTATCCAGGCTGGCCCACCCTGGTCTTGGAGAATGGTTCCCTGTCTCAAGCCTGAAACCTTGGAGCAAGCCTCTCTTTGATGTCATAACCAAGCTTAACCTGGGTTTGGCCAGTGAACTCACAGCAACACACCGTAAAGCAAAATAAAGCACTATTAGAAAGAAAATAAAGGGAAAAGATTTAAAAAACAATATCGTTCCAGTATAAAGTTCTGGCACACCAAAAATAATAAAGCTGACTTCCTAAATACACTTATTGAATAGGGTTCTGCAGCGCATGTCTTAAGTTCTTCAAGTTCTAGCAAATCCAATCCAAAGCAAGCAGCAAAGTCCATAATAGATGTAGAATATGATGTACGCAAGTACCAGGGATGGAGAAGGGAAGTGGGGTAGGGAAGGGAAATTAGCAAATTAGACTACATTTTATAGAAAACGTGGGGCATGCTATCTCCTGACCTCCTTCAATCAGTCACCATGCTGTCTTCAAGGAATCTTCTGGAAGATGAGCAAGCCCCCTCCCCCAATTCAGCTGAAATCAGTGAACTAATTAGTAGACTGGAGAAAAGGACCTTGGTGGAGTAACAGTTGGGGATAGGTGGTTAGCACCTGTTGCTGGCTGGACAGGGCAGGGAAAAAAATCAAGTGAAGTCTTACTCAGAAAATGGCTCCACTTGACATGGAGCCAAACAAGAGTCCAGGCAGTGGTTTGGGAAATAGATCCCGGGGGGGGGGTGTGTGTGTCCAGAGAAGAGTCCATGTGGACTAGGACTGAGGGGCAGCCAGTGATCTTAGATCCTTAGACTATACGCACACATGCAATCCAGGAATGAGCACAAGTCAGAAGGCTGAGGGGCAGCAACTCTTATGTTAGAGAATAACAAAGTTAGATTTACCTGGGAAGTTCGGAGCTGTTTCCTAGATTGATTTTGAAAGTAGAAGTTTGAGGGGTGAGGCTTGAGGCAGGGATGAGGTTATATGGAGGTTAGGACATGTTTCTGGAGTAGCTTCCGTTAGAGGCTGAGATCAGTGGAAGTCCTTTCTGTTAGGCAAGGCTGAGGCCAGGCAATAGGATATTGTGTCTAAGAGAACCTTGATTAAATTGAAACGTTGAAAATAATTTCCTGTGGAGCTTTCTTTTGTGCCAGAACTACATCTTTCCGTGGCGGAGTTAGCTGTCCATTGTATTTCGTTATTAAAATCCAGTACTTCAAAATGATTTGCTCCCGCCTATTTCTCCTGCTCAACCTGACTCCTTTTATCTGCAAATACCCTCCAGCATAATTTTCGGATGACCTTCTTGAGTTTCGCTGCATGGGTAGGCTGGCTGTAGACAGAGGCTGAGGTCAACAAAATGAAAGCAGAATGGTTATGGCAATAGTAAAGAAGTGCCAATCCAGGAAGTCAATGTTTACTGAAAAATATCTGTAACTGGAAAATGTGAGCATCAACACAACTCTTAAAATGTATACTAAACAATGGAGGCAGGTGTTGCAACCAGTCTATTTTGATGTCCCCATGTTTGTATTCTATTCCATTTTCTGGAAGGCCGTCTTATGAAAACGCACACCTAGAAGCTTTCTTTAACTCTTAATCCAGTCCTGAAGTGTGATGCCCTTAGCTCCTTTGCAGCGATTTGATTTCAGCACCCCACCCATATATTCTTATTTTTTACGGTGGCACATAACATTATTTTAGAACCAGAATCCCATTTCTGAGTAGCAAGCTTGCACATGGATGGAAACAAAAATGAAGTTTCTTAGGCACTTGTGTCCAGTCTTTATTGTTGGGAATTTTGGTAGCCTTCAGTCTGTATATAATGACACCCCTAAGGTACCTGTATCTTTTTCATTTGTCTAAAACTGCCCGGGTGCATCTGGCTGATAGTGGATAATTGTATTAGCATCTCGTGATTTTAATAATTGCATATGTACCAGGAACTGGGATTGATCAGATTCTGTGTTCCACAGGCATACAGGTTGATATCACGCCCAAGAGGCTTGGCACTCATACTTAGCAATGTGCATTTCACCGGTGAGAAGGATCTAGAGTTCCGCTCTGGCGGGAATGTGGACCATGCTGCACTACAAAAACTCTTTGAATATCTTGGGTACCAGGTGTTTGTGCGGCATGATCAGACCGCACAGGTGAGTCTGGAGAACAGAACAAGCATGACAAAATGCCTGCATCATATCTAGAGCTTATTTTTAAGAAGCACCTGGTTTCCAGGGAGATGGGAACTGGCACATATTTCTATCATGAAAATATTAGTTTGTGCTTGAGCAAACAGTTGTTTGTACTCATTGCATTTCCATGTGGAATGATCATCAACCTTGTCTAAGGTGCTGTTTATGTGTGTGTGGTGGTGTTGGTGGTGGGGTGTTGGTATAGAAACAATTTCCTCACAAGAGCCCTTGCTTAAAACACCAGCCGTGAGGGTGGCTTTCAGCACTGGTGACTAAAGCCCCTGGGACACCGTGAGGCTAAAACCTGATTGAAGTTAGGTAAGCTTAAGCCAGTTAATGTAGAATAGGATAGGTGCACTCAGTTATGCTTGTGAAAGGGCCATGAGCACAGCAGCAGGGAGGACATTTTCACTCCATGCCTGTGTTGGTTGGAGCATGTCCTTTGTTTACTCAGAAGTAAACCTTATTGAATTCAGTGAGCTTACTCCCTTGGAAGTGTCCATATGGTGGCATTCCAAGATTGCAAGCCTGTGCACACTTAATTTGGCTGTCAGGCCCATTGCATTCAGGAGTGCTTGCTTTTGAGTAAACATGCAAAGGATTGTACTATAAATGTTCTGTAAGCACGTGCTTTCCAAAGTCGATAATTTGCAGTGTTCTACTGTCCTTATGTCGATGTGTACACTGTAAATGGAAGCCTGTCATCTGGTACACTGGAAAGGGTCCTGTGCCTTGGTGGTAAATCTTTGTCATTATTGTATCCACTGGTAAAAGTGGATGGTTAATGCCAATCATGGAAGTAGGGGGGGAAAGGCCAGCCCTCAGGTAAGATGTTTCTGTGTACTAGGCAGAGACCCCAGATATGCAGAAAACAGAGCTTGTAAATTAACCGTAAGGAAAATGGGGGGGGAGCCCAGTGCTGAGATCTTTTCAAAGCAAGACAAATGTGGAAATGCAGACACTTAACAGTTCAAGCCCCTGAGGGCCTATAGAATTCTGAAGAAGCAAGTTTTGAGTACATGTGTGCACGAACAGCTTCCCATTCACAGCTCTGTCTTTTCTCACTTCCCCCCCCTCCCCCAGCAGTTTCTTTCTGGCTTTCAACTTGTTCTTATTAGTAGCAAACTTCATAGTCATGAAAAAGAAGAGGACATCTCTACCAACCAACCTGACGAGACCTGAGTTTACTGATTGCGCTTGGATTGTTGAAAGTAGTTGGAAGTCAATTAAAGGAAGGGTGGAAGAGATAGGAATGGAGAGATTGGCTTGCTTATAGCATAATAAATTGAGAGAGATTTCAGTAGAGCTCAAATTTCCCAGTTGTTTCCCCTATGATGCCTCAGCAGCCTGAATAGCCTAGTTTAGCCCAAGCTTGTTAGAACTTGGAAGCTAAGCACGGTTGGCTATGGTTAGTGCTTTGATGGGAGACCACCAAGGAAGACTGGGGTTGCTACATAGAGGGAGGCAATGACAAACTACCTCTGCTTGTGTCTTGCCTGGTGGATGGGGCAGTGTTGACTTGGTGGCAACATCTTAGGATTCCTTACAGGAACACCCTCTCCCCCCCCCCCCCCCCCGCCGAATACAAAATCCACACAATACAGTAACAGTCCAGTAACAATCAAATCAGTATCTTTCATTCTTCCATTCCAGTATGCTGCAAATTGGTGCCATTGCTCCATAAATACTCTCCTCAGCTTTAAGAATTCCTTTTGCATTGATAGTTAATCATTAACTTCTCGGTATAACGTTTCATACTTTATGCAGTCAAGTCTCCTGTGGTAGATGGTTTTGCTTCCAAAAAGTTGCTTAATAAGCTAATATGCCGTTCTTACATTTCTGTCACATATAAAATAAATGCTTAATGACTTAGTATTTTATCATTCATAAACCCTCCGGTTCCTCTGGAGTTATTTTGCTGTATGAAAGCAACACCCTCTAATCCAGGGGTCCCCAATCTTTTCTGAGCCTGTGGGCACCTTTGGAATTCTGACACGGCATGGTGGGCACAGTCACCCAAAAAAAATGGCTGCTGCAGCTCACCTTCAGTCGAACAGTGCCGATCCTTGTGCTGTGGTGGCACCTGGTGCAATGCAACACGTTTTAAAAATCTGCACAGCCAACCAAATTTCCAGTGGCAGATCAGAAGCCTTGCTGGCAAAAACCCCACCTGGCCCTGCCCCCTTGGTGAGTCCCAGGAAAGGTGTCGGCAGGTTCCATGGTGCCTGCGGCCACCACATTGGGGATCCTTGCTCTCATCGTTCCTCATTTTCTCTAATCAGTCCCCTTTGTGATTGCAATATATGTATCTTTGTTGTGTTAATTATGTCAGAAGCTTAAATCCTGTGGTTAGCTAGTATGTGCAGCTCCTAGAATTACTGATTTTAGTTCTCTCTTCAGGAAATGCAGGAAGAATTGAAAATTTTTTCAAAGAATCCGGCTCATAGAGAAGTAGATTCTTGCATAGTGTCGCTTCTCTCACATGGCATAGAGGGTGGAATCTATGGAGTGGATGGCAAGCTACTTCAGGTACCTTACCATGTGTGGATTTCTTCCTTAGTATAGAAGTTTAGTCATGTGAGGAAAGTGAAATTGACAACCATTGACTAATATAGTTGTGACTGAACCCAGCCTGAAGTAGAATCGAGGATGTTTGGGGGAGGAAATGTATAGAAAAGAGTGGGTGTTGATATTACGTTGAGTGTTGCTTACCGTCTTGTCCTTTTCACAGTTGCCGGAAATTTTCAGGCTCTTTGATAATGCAAACTGCCCTGGACTGCAAAACAAGCCCAAAATGTTTTTCATTCAGGCATGCCGGGGAGGTAAGTGACCAAAGGAGGAACGGATGGGTGGGTCTCACAAACCATTCCCCCTTTCTGTGCAGCTTGCTCTCAACTCTCCCTCTTTGCTTCTCTCAGGTGTAAGCGGAACCCACATTCACCTCCCTGCCTTGCTGTTGCCACTACCTCTCTCTGTAAGTGCTTCTCACTCTGCATGGCATGTGGTCCGTGAATCACAGACCCTGCAGCACCATGGGGAAGGACCAGGGAGATCTTTTGTAACAATTCCCATTGTCATGCATGTGTGGTGTAGGTTGCCTAACCACACTAATCACAATCCAGCGTCCAGAGATTTTATCTGTGTGCTGGAACTTTATCTTAGCTGTTCTTTCCTGCTCTCTTCATCTGAACTATGGCATTTTCTTTGCTGGACCTAAAGGAATGAATTAACTACAGCTTGTGGGTCAGCAGTGCTTCTAGAAACTCATCTTTAGAACAAGCATTATCCTCTTGAAAAGGGAAATTCCATTGAGAAAACTGATGGTTCTGAGATCCCAACTTTCTCTTTTAAGACAGCTTCACAAGACTTAGAAAACCAGGCATTAAAATGTTCCCTCCTCCACTCATTTTTAGTGACAGACTCTTTTCTTGTGGGGGGTGGTGGTGGGATGGGGGATGGAACTAACCCAGAGATAGAAGTGAGGGATGAAAAGTAGAAGGAAACATAGATGGGTTGTAACTTTCACTGCCAATTTATATGGTGTTTCTTGGTCCTACAGCTGTACAGGCAGAAGGAACTCATGGTGGTGGATCTTTTCTTGGTTTCCCTTTCCCACAGTAGCCCTCTGTGACTTCAAGGGCATTGCTGGGATTGGGAGGCTCCATGGACAAAAAACTAATGGGCACAGGGGAATGCAAAGCGGGGGGTGGGGTGTCAGGTGAAATCACCACACTTTGCTCTTGTGCGAGCAGAAAACTTTGCTCCATCACATTTTCTCTGCCAGCAGATGAGTGAAGTAAAATTAGTTGTAAGGTCTATTTGATCAAGGGCTTCAGCTTCAGCTATGTATGATGAACCAGGTAAAACAGATAGTTCTTGCAACTACTTCTGTGTGTTCCTTCGTTCTTGTATGCTCTAGAAAATATATTTTCCTGGAGTCAGTTTCAGAAAACATGCTTGGAGTGTTTATATGGGATGCATAGGCCAAAGCTAGTTATATTAGAGGGAAATCACTGTAAGAAGACATGAGCAGTGCAACCGATCACAGAGTATAATGGGATAGAAGCCATTTCCCCCTCTTGTACCCGGAAACATGTCAGATTCCTTGTTCCTGCCTCAGAGCTTTCTTTCCAGTCTTACCTGGGCGGTAAAAAAACAGATTTCTATTAAGGGAACAATTCCTCATGGCATTCATCGTTAACTTTGGCTAACTTACAACATCCTGAGCTAGTCAGCACCTGGAAGTAAAAGCATTTTTTCCGTCTCCTGTGGAAATCCTCTTATGGAAGAGAAATCCTGGTGTGGTGTGCCTGCAGAGTTTTGTGTCAGCCTTAGAAGAAATTGCTTTGAATAGATTCGGAAGAGAGGGTTCTTGGGATGAGCTTTACATCAGCTGAGGATAAGCTTGTCTCCTTAAGACAAAACAGTGTTTCTGACCTTGAAGAAAGTTGTTGCCTTCAACTTAACTGCAAATCAAAATTTAACTGTTGGCAGTTTAGTCTTGTTCTGCATGTTTGCTACTAGCAGACTAAGTTGTGTAAATGTGCAGGTATTAGTTGACTGAACTTTTATCAATATGATTTTATTCAGGCATGATCCAGAGAACTGTGAACAGAGCTATTTGCACAATGGGACTTTCTCACCCCCACCTTTCCACTGAAAATCCACTCCTGGGGGACTATGGCACATGGCACAGAGGTCTACAGCTGGAAGGGGAAACTCTCCAGTATATGCATGGCACCTTTGTGCAAGCAGAGTTGCCTTCCACATGTGTCAGCAGGAGTTTGGATCTTGGATATCTGCAGCGTGACTTGAAAAACTTGAATCAGACTTCCCTTTTTGAAGTAGATGTGTTAATTTATGATGACTTGAACTTTGTAAAACCACAGCCAGAGAGTTTAGTTATACAAGCCATACTAACTATGGTAATTTTCCTTTCTGGAGAAACAATAATGTCTCCTATGTGGTGTTCCGTATTGGTCTTTATATCTGCTTTGTTTCTATTAGTTGGCTAATGGGTGCTTTGAAGAGTATTCTACAATCCCAAAGTGTTATTTCACACATATTTCATATATGCCTTAACAACAGGAAAATGTTGTGGCCTGGATTTTTCCTGTCCTGTTTACCCCAACACCTTTAAACTGCATATACATTTGTTGCTATATATAAGAAGTCCTTTGGGAATTTTGTACTGTGTGAGGGGTGTGGTGATTATAAAGAAGGCATAATTGGCACAGTGTTCATGATTTTAAAAACTCTTTTTCTTCATACTTCGCGCTCATATTTGCTTCTCTTGCCATTAGTATACCTGCTTCTGGTCTGTATCCTGTCAAATAAGGCTGTAATGACATTCCTGAACTCGTTTGTCTTTCTTGCTTTTGAAGTGTTTTCATTCTAGCACCCTTTTCCGTTGCAGTTGGAACCTTTATTTTTCACACTGCTATTTGTTTTATGAACTCCAAAGGCTTATGTGGCCACTAGAGGTGTGCAGGGGGGAAAAATTCATTTTTTTCTGGATTCGGGTATAATAAAGCCGGATTTCTTTGGGATTCCTGAATATACTCGAATACCAATAGCGGTATTCTATTGGTATCCTATGGGGCCATTGTAGTCAATGACAAAAATCTTCTAACAAGTTTTCAGGGGGCTGGGGAGGGTGTTGAGGTAGAGGCACCAAATTTGTACTGCAGCTGCTGGAGCCTCTCCCCAAAAGACCTCCCCAAGTTTGGAAAAGATTGGGCCCAATTCTAGGGACATCCAAAGAGGGTACCCCCAGTCCTCCATTGTTTCCTACGGGGATGGGAAAAGGGCAGGCAGCAGTGTCTCCCAGAGAAAGCCAAAAAACCCCAAAAAAGTTTTGGTTTTTTCCCCCGGCATTGCAGTATTCAGCAGCCAAATCAGCTCAGGGGATCTGATTCGGTATGGCAAATACCCAAAAAATGCCGAAAAATTTTTTCCGGGTTTTTTTTCCGGTTCGGCTTTACCCCTAGCACCCCCCTAGTGGCCACCCAAAGTACTTGGTTTAATTATGGAAGATGTCCTTTTATATAATACATTCCTAACGAACATTTCTGTAGGTATCAGTACTTGTGCTCTTCCAATTTTCATCTTTTTGTTACAAATTTTTTATTTTTGACTGTTACTAACATTTCACACGTGTACAGGAGAGAGAAAGCTGGAAGGGATCACTATCACTGCATATATTATTGCTGTTCAGCAGCTAATTTTCCCTGCTCCTCTGCTTCGAGCTTCCTCTGCCAGTCTCCATGGGAGCCTTCAGAAATCTCAGGAGTCGGGGCCTGGCTTGCTTTTCATGCGATGAGTGTAAGACTCTTAATCCCATGTGCAGTGGTAGCAGTGTGTGCTCCCAGGGTCCCTTGGTCAGCTAATTCTCCCTGGCCTGTAATGTAGTCAAGTGGCTATGAGGGGCTTGTCCTGGCCAGAATACATCAGTGTTGCCCAAAAGAGTGGAAAAAATGGTCTGGGAATGTGTGGATCTTGGCCTAACAGTAACAAGAACTGTTTGAATACTGAATGGTGTCTTTAAAAGAGGATGCATGTGTTTGCTTCTGCCCTTTTGTTTCCTCTTATTAGATGAGACGGACCGGGGAGTGGACCAGATAGATGGGAGTGAGCGTGCTGATTCTCCAGGTTGTGAAGAAAGTGATGCTAAGATGCAGGAGAATTCCAAGCTGCGCCTTCCCACATGCTCTGATATGATCTGTGGTTATGCCTGTTTGAGAGGTATCTGGGATGAGAACTGTGAACTACACAAAAAGTATTGCATCTTTGAGCTGAACTGAAGGCTGAACTTCGTTCATTTGTTTACAGGCACAGCTGCCATGCGGAACACTAAGCGTGGGTCCTGGTATGTTGAGGCACTTACCTCTGTGTTTGCGGAGGATTCACGAAATACGCATGTAGCAGACATGCTTGTGAAGGTGAGTGGGTTTGCGTTTTGAAAACTCTGAATGCTTCCCTTTCCGCTGAGTTTCATGTTTTGTGTGTCTGTGTGCACGCGCATGCATCCCCCGCTAGAAGAACCACAAAAATTAAATACAAGATGGCTCTTTCCCTCAGCAGCTTCTGAGCTGTAGCTTTGTGTCTAATACCTCCAACAGGATAACTGGCATGAATAAATGTTCTTGTAATTACTGAAGTTCAGTTATATCTGAACAAAGATAGAACTGTTTTTAAAAATACTATTAAATCTCTCAGCCTTTAATTTGCCTTATGTCACCTTCTCTGTCTTTAGGTGAACCGATTGATCAAGCGCCGGGAAGGCTATGCCCCGGGCACCGAGTTCCACCGCTGCAAGGAGATGTCGGAATACTGCAGTACTCTCTGCCGGGATCTTTACCTATTTCCGGGCTTTTACCCCGGGAACTAACTCTGCAATTCTTGTCCTAAAGGCAGTAATGGAGACAGCTTCCTTTGTAGCCTTGAGGCTATGGAACTACCAGTCTGAGGTGGTCTGGGAGGTGCTCTTCCTTACGGCATCTAACAAGAGGTGTCAGACCCACCTCATTCAGAAACTGTTTGGCTGATGAGCCATTGCGCGTTGCCGTGTCCCTGTTGTGCTTCTGCCGTTTTTATATGAGCCACCCTGAGCCTTGGAAAAGGCAGCATATAACAATGGTGAGTTAACAGGCAGTGGCTAGCCAGGCCAGTTTTCTTAATGCCTGTGAAAGCGTCACTAACATTGCTCTTTCCAACCGACTCTGGTAATGGCGAGTTCCTTTAACCCACATCAGATTTTTGTAATTTTCACTTTCCGTTTGTATGCCCAAATTTGCGAGTGGTGGGCAGCACCTTAACGATGACCGGTTTGTGGGCATTCATGACAAACAGGAACATTTTGGGGGGCGGGGGAGTTACTCAAAGGTTTTTTTAAGGAAAAAAATGAAAATGTATAGTTTTTGAAAATGTCTTTTATAGTTTTATAAATTTCTACACTTTATGAGAAACTCGTGTTCATCACCTAGTTGTCTGTGCAGCAACTGGCAAAATAGCTAGTTGAGCTGAAAAGGGACTCTTGCCCGAAAAATAAGAGGAAGTGCATTTGCACAGGTGTCTGCTCATCTGTTGGCAGTGGTGCGGGAGGAGGCAGTAGCTGAGCTGACTCCTATCACTGGTGTGGCTGGCTAGCTCTGAGTGGCCTCTGCATCTCAGCCTTCTTACTCTTGCAGCAAACCATAGTTGGTTGTTGGAGCCACACCAAAGCTGTTCTTTCTTTTCTCCCCTCAAAACAGTGGCTGGAGAGTGGAAATGATTTGCTTTGTGAGCTGTGCTGAATGGGGTGGGGCAGGGAGGGTATGTGAGGTTGAGGTTCCACTGGCTTGTTTCTGCATACAAACAATGTCATAGGGGGGAAAAAATCCTTACAGCAGGAACTTTTGAAGCAGTCAATAAAGCATCTGCATTCTATACAAAACTTCTGACTACATCAGAACCAATTTTGTGTTTTCAGAGATTATTTCTGTGCTTCCTAATGTTAGCTGAGCATAGTGAGCTGAATTAATGTGCAGACTTGCAGTTTTATTTAAAGGGTGGCCCCTTGTTCTGCTTGCTTGTACTCTCTGCCTGCCCTACCTTATCCTAATTCCCGCCCTCCCTTTCTGAGCCCCACATGCATTATCAGGGAGCACTTGACTAAATGCCTCTGGGACTCTGATCTTGCCTCCTGCTGGTAGCTGCAGAAAATTGGACAATTATTTTATAGAAATTATTTTACAAACTTGCTTTTTGTAAGGTGTGTGCAGACTGATGGCTTTTTTTCTGAATGAGGAGGCTGGTCTTCTGTGGGTGACCTGCCTGGGAGTAACTGCTGCTCACCTTAGACCAATTTAGAGGTTACCTGTGACATGAACCCCACCCCGACTGTCCCTTTTGCAGACAGATGTGATGTTGGGCTACTCATATTTCCAAGCACACCGGGGCCTAATTTGGCTTAGGACTGCGGCATGGGAGAAGGAGGTCCTTCAGTGTTCCCTCCTACACTGTTTTATTCTGAGCCAAAACAGCCATGTTGGGGGGGGGGATATTTGCCTTACTATGGGGCAGTAGGTGCACCGACTGCAGCATGTTGAGCCCCGACCCAGCCTATGTTACAGGCAGTGTTCCCTCTAAGCTGAGTTAGTGTGAGCTAGCTCACAGTTTTTTTATCCTCCAGCTCACACATTTTTGTCTTAGCTCAGGAAGAATGGCTCAAGAGCGGACTAATTGATGCAGTAGCCAAATCGCTTGTTCACACCTTTAATGCCAGTAGCTCACAAAGTAGAATTTTTGCTCACAAGACTGCACAGCTTAGAGAAGGGAGCATTGGTTACAGGTAGCCTTTAGTTTAGCCTTTAGGTGAGTGGTAGAACAGAAGGTTGGACTATTGACATGGCTCATTGGAATCACCCCCTATGGCCACGGGCTCGGCAGTGCACTTTTTTCTGTGAGCTGTTCAGTGGCCATGCATTCTGTAATGGACTGCTTTAGCGATTTTACAGTGATTTTAAAGTACTGCTACTTCAAAACTATGTGTCCCTTAAAGTCGGGGAGAATTGATAGTGTCAGCTGGCACGTGGTGGAGAGGAAATCTTTTTTTGCATTTCTACTACATGCACCTTCGGTGTGAGTTCACAAGGGGTGAGGTTAGGGAGTACAGCATGACTAACAACGTTAGTAATGCATTTTAAAAATGTGTAATACTGTAAGAAGAAGAAGAAGATATTGGCTTTATACCCCGCCCTTCACTCGGAGTCTCAGAGCGGCTTGCAAACTCCTTTCCCTTCCCCTCCCCACAACAGACACCCTGTGAGGTAGGTGGGGCTGAGAGAGCTCTTTCCAGAACTGTCCTTGAGAGAACAGCTCTGACAGAACTATGGCTTGCCCAAGGTCATCCAGCAGCTGCAAGTGGAGGAGTGGGGAATCAAACCTGGTTCTCCTAGTGCACTTAACCACTACACCAAACTGGCTTCTAAATTGGCCTAAGGCAAGCAGTTCTTAGTTCTTTTGGGGGAGATCTCTTTTAAGTAAAGAGCAATATGACAGTAGTCAGTCTGTTTCCTTTATTCATACTCCAGTGGTGAAGGTCCAGTGCCCATTAGTTAAAGGTAAAGGTTCCCTTCCTCGAAAGCCAGTCGAATCTGACTCTAGGGTTGCGGTGCTCATCTCCGTTTCAAAGCCGAAGAGCCAGTGCTGTCCGAAGACGTTTCCGTGGTCATGTGGCCGGCATGACTAAACACCGAGGCGCACAGAACGCAAAGCCCATTAGTTACTGGTGTCTAAAGAATTAGAACTGTGGTTACTTGGGTTGCTGTAGAGATCTGGAAGCTTGCTTTTCCTTCTGCTTGTCTCAGCATTGTTATACCTTTGGGTTTGTTGTCCACTGGTTTCTGCTTTGCATTACTGTACCCTAACAAGTCTGCAGCCAAGAACCAAGCCCCTTGCCCTTGAATTGAATCAGCTGCCCTTCCGCTCTGATTGCTCTGTGATCCTTCCTTGCTCAATATTTTGTGCTATAGTTTTAAAGCTAATATAATTAAAAAAAACAAGAGTAGGAACATCTGTTGGAGGAAACCAGAACTCTCAACAGTTATGTTCTTTTTTTCCTGTTTGGATTTTTAAAGATAATTACATTTTGCCATACAGCTAAAAACTGGCCAGTGTTCCAAAGCTTGTGGAGAGGAAGACCTGTCTCAGGGCCAGTAGGCAGCTTAACCTTGAGCTCAGGATGCCAGTTAGGAGTTCATGTTTTTGGCAAAGGGAGAGTAGGTCCTTATTCACAAATTGGTGCTTGATGTTTGTGTCAATGCAGCTGTCTCTCCCATTATTTGGAAAAGGGGAGCCCATGTCTTTATCACTGCCATTTTTGATAATAAACGTTTGTATATTGACCGCCTCCATGGGCAGAAATAAAGCGATTCAGTTTCCTAAAAGATGTGTCTCCTCTCATCTTGTGAGCCTTTGCCTCCGATTCTAAATTTGTGATGCAACCAGTGGGTTGGCTTAAACGGGACGGAACTTTCCTGCTCCAAAGGCACCCTGTGGATCTCCATGAAATGCTGCTGCTGTCAGATGAGGACCCTGAGGAATTGGGGGGGGGGGGGGGGAAAAGGGGAAAGTGG